AACACCGCGGGAACCTTTTACCTTAAACAGAAAAAACACCTGTACAATGGAGCACAATTATTAGGAAATTAGGAAAAAATAAGTGGAAAATAATGTTGCACAGTGGTGCCATGTGAAGTTGGAGAGGCTGTGTTGAGGGTTCAGGGTTGATATCTAAATATAGAAACCAGCTGAAAAATGGGCAGAAAATCAGAAAAAATACCCAAAAACTAAGAGTTACATTCTCTGTTGACATGATATTGAAGGGGCTGTGTTGATGGCTCAGGGTCCATATCTAAATATAGAACAAAGGCACAAAATGGCTAAAACATCAGAAAACAATGAGAAAAATATGCAAATAACATACATTGTTACTACAATGTTGAAGGGGCTGTGTTCAGGGTTCAGGGTCCATATCCAAATATAGAAAATGTTGTTAAATTATGAAATGTGATTATATCATCTGACTAGCATTCTTTCTTATGTAGATATGGGTCAAAATACATGACTATTTTCAAAAAGTGTCCAATTTTTTCAGTATTTTGTGTTTTTCTCAATGAGGAAAGATCTGTGTGACATTATTTATATATATTTGTAAAGCTAAGCAAAGGGGCTACATATTTTGTTAACAAAGCTAAGGGAGTGGCTGTGTTTCTGTGACTGTGGGAAAATTAGCCCAAAAAAGGAAATTGGCAGCAGTTGTATAGAGCATGCTGTTATGTTTCTTCATGTAGTTGCAAAATGTGACTAGCTGTCTTTGTTCCTGAGATATATGCAAAAACAGCTATTTTTTGTGCCTTTTTGTGTTTTTCCCAATAAGAAATACATCTGGTCACATGATTTCAGTATATTTAGAAATGTCTAAGAAGGGGCTACAATCCATGTACTGTGGGAAAAAGTTCCCAAATAAGGAATGTGGACTTGCTCTAAACTTCCTGGGTACTTCAAAGCTTCTGGTAACCAATGGTAAACTTTCCCTCTTGAACTTGAACCACCATCATCTTGCTTTGCTGGCACCTTGTTCACCTCATTGTGACTCAACCACTCATGCTACTGCTACAATTCTTTTTGCTATGGCTTCTAGCCTTTCTCTGCTACACTTCTATGCCCTCTATGTTCTCTTCCAAGACCTGGAAGATGCTCAGATCTGGAAATACTGGTGTTAGCTCTGAACTTGGTCACTTTTGGCCATGTAAGTGTCTATTTCTATATTTCTGTAGGTACTCTGCTAATCTTTCTATATTCTAGATCAACAAACTACCTGTTCTCTGGCTACTCTAAGCCCAGAAGGTATGTAACTTGCTCTTTTTAGCACATATTCTTAAATTTAATATGTTTAACCATCATTGGCCTTCTGCCAATCAAATCCTATGGATTTTTATGCCACCTCTTTCTTAAACTATGGTAAGTCCTTAGCTTGATCATATGCAACTTAGGACTGAGCAATCTCTTAGATATTCTAGACTGGGATCAAGGGAGTTTTTCCAACTACCTTTATCCCAGTATGAATCTGAGGACTTGTCCTTGGATTTCTATGATAGAGATTGATTTCAACCCAAGCCCATTGGCACTGTTAATAGAGATTGATATCAATCCAAGCCTGTTGGCACCCAACCATTTGGTTGATCCCCTTCCATTCAACATGGTTGAGGAGATGATATGTGATACACATGCCCTTCCATCTATGGTTGGCAAATTGAGAAACAACAGAGATGCCCTTCCATTTATGGTTGAGGAGACAGGCCAAGTGGCTTACTCAAATATGAGAGTTGATAAGATGTATAAGCATACATCAGGGGTATCACCCTTGTTATATTGGAATGCACAAAGCTCATGGTCAGAAACTTTGAACTTGAAAAATGGTGGCTTTTCTACCTGTCTTGAACTTAGCCCTGAGCTATGTAAAAATGACTACACATTTTCTGAACATGTAGATTTAAAACTTCATAAGATATGGTTGCATCTGAGATCTTCTCCACTATTGGAATTATATGTCAGAGCTTTCTTTACTCTTCTCAGATTATTTGATATTATTTCTCAAAGAGATTTACCCTCAGTAAAATGCCAGGAACTTGGTTTGAAATTGAAAAGAAATATATTGAGATCTCATGACTTTGCTGCTCTTATCAAAAGAATTGGTGGATACTTTACTATTTTGAACTTTGCAAAGTACATTGTATCTTTTATAACATTCCACCATGTCTCAGCTTTGCAGCACTTCAAGTTCTCAATAAAAAACACAAAAAACTGGTGTATCATGATACTTGCTCTATCTGTAGTATTCTTTTTGGAGCTGGATCTTCCAGGTTTTAAACCAACACAAAGTTTTGATCAACATGATGACTTGGTGAATAAAAATGAAATATTGGGGGGTGGCCCTGCAGGTATATTTTCAGCTGAGAAGCTTTCTGCATTTGCTATAAATAAGACTTGTGTAAGAGGGCCATTGCAAGCATGGCAGATACGAGTCCTTTTTATATTCAGGAAGCCACAATGCAGCACCACAGCATTCACATTTTTGATTATTTAAGATGAATCCAGGAGGAATCTATAAATATTCAAACTATGTACCTGAATCTGAAGTCATACACTGCAGAGTATCAAGAGTCCAACTTTACTTTGTAAGATGCCACTTACAGAGCTCATCTCCCACTTAAGCATTCCTAACTTGAAATTTATTGCTCAATGCCATAACATCAAAATTCATTCCAAGTCAAAAAGCTTAGAAATTCAGAGAATTATTGAAAGTCACAAGTGTAAATCATGTGAAGAATATGTAGAAATATTTGAATTTATAGATGAGAAAGACAAGATAGAAAAAAAGAAGGCCAGCAACTTGGAGTCAGTTAAAAAATACCAAGAGAAAAGTCCAGACAAATATAAGGCCAGCAACTTGGAAGCAGTTAAAAAAACACCAAGAGAAAAGCCCAGATAAATATAAGGCCAGCAACTTGGAGGCAGTGAAAAAACACCAAGAGAAAAGCCCAGAGAAATATAAGGCCAGCAACTTGGAGGCAGTTAAAAAACACCAAGAGAAAAGCCCAGAGAAATATAAGGCCAGCAACTTGGAGGCAGTTAAAAAACACCAACAAAAAAACAGCAGCTTCTTGGCCACCTGGCTTTAAGCCTGAATGGACTTGTGTTCCAACTGAGTGACTGTATAGAGATTGACCACCAACAGGGGGCCATTGGGCAAAATCACCAGCAAATATCATATTAATTCCACCATATGGCTTATCAAAATTATTGAGTGCTTTGGCTAACTGTGAAGCAATTTTATACATGTCATGGCATAAGAGCATTGATACCTCATCTAAGAATATATAGTCAACTCCATCTAGTCTAGCTCTGACTTGAGCAATGCTTGTAGCCTCATTTCTGATACCCATTCCACTCATTGGCACACCCAAAAATGAATGATAAGTTGATCCATTTATGTTTTTCAACAGAGAAATGAGTCTCATAGATTTATTGTCCTTGGACCAACAGGATCATCAGCTGCTCTTCTGAATGGATCAACTTAGTTTGGGTTCTACCTAATTTTGCAATGACAGATTATGCAGCTCAAGGAAAAACTAGACCATACAATGTTGTCCATCTCAACAGCTGCCATACTCATATGTCTTACTACACTTGCCTCTCCAGAAGTGCAAGTGCAGCTGGAACTATCATTCTACAAGGCTTTGAGCCCAGCATTGTTACTAGAGGATGTGCAAAATATCTTAGGCAGGAACTTAGAGAACAAGAACTTCTAGATGAAATTACCAGGCTTAGATATGAAGGGTCACTTCCTCCTTGTGTTGTAGGATACACACGCAATCCATTAATCACTTGTGGGTGTGGGCCAGTGCTTTGCATGGCATGTATGAGTCCTTTCTGTGGACTCTAAATTTAATATTAGGAAATTGGTCATGTAATCACTTTATGATTTTCTGAGTTTTGTTCTATATTTGCAAATAGACCCTGAGCTCTGAGCCTAGCCATCAATATCATAGCAACAATGTGTGCTATTCTTATTTTTCTTTGATTTTTTTTGATTTTATAGCAAATTTTCCCAATTTTATAACTATTTTTCTGTTTATGGTAAAATATTCCCACAGTCCTGTTTGCATATATCTCAGGAAAGAGGATGGTTAGTTATATTTTGTGACCTATAATAGCATGCTCTATATATTTGTGATGAATTTCCTTTTTTGGGTTAAAATTCCCACGGTATCAGAAGCACAGCCTCTCACTTAGCTCCATAAACAACAATTGTAGCCCCTTTCCTTACCTTTATAGATATATATAAATAATGTCATGCAGACCATTCCTCATTGAGAAAAACACAAAATACTGAAAAAATTGGACACTTTTTGGAAATTGTCATGCATTTTTGACCAATATCTCAAAGAGCAAGAAAGCTGGTCTCAAGATATAGTCACATTGCATGATATGACAATATTTTTACATGGTTGTCTTTATTTCCATATTTGGATATGGACCCTGAATACT